TTGCTGTTAGCCACCTATGTGCTGACAACGGATACTCACTCACTACTGCAGAGTCAAGTGTCTCATGAATTATCTAATGGAGGATGGTAATCTAAGCATACACTTGGTGATGACATAAGGAAGGCAGAGACTCAAATGGGTTTGCGGAGCTGTTGCCCAAAAGGATGCAAGAACTGGCAACGAGGAATGTTCCTTTGTGTTATGCATTCCTCCAGCTTTTCCCCTTGCAGCAACACTTGTTGTCTTGGCACACAAGGCTCCAGTGGCTGCTCCATGATCTGCAGCAATTTCAGTCTCCAGGGTTCTCTGTTCATAAGACCTCTCCTTTGTGAAAAACGTGAGCAGGGCATCTGCAGGAGAGGGGTTGCCACCCTCTGCCCTGCAATCAGGATGGCTCAGCAGCAAGCAAATTTTAGTCCTTTTTTGCAGGTGAGCACTGCTCCTGCCACCATGAACTAAGCAGGGGCTTGGCAAGTGTATTCTTCCTTATTATATCTGGCTGGAGGATTTTGGGAGTTGTAGTTCAAGAGGGAGACTGCCAACCTCTGTACCAAATCCTCATCTGGCTGCTGTTCAGAAAAAAACAAGTTGCCACACTTAATATGCTTGCCTTAAATCTAGTTGTTAGTCCCAACCAGAGCAGACCAATTTAAGTCACTAGAACATGAGTATTGATTTATCTAGTTCCCATTGGTCCAATGGGTGTATTCTAGCTGGAACTAAGTGGATTTAGTTCTTGATGATGATGGCCTATTTTAACAATTCTCCAGTTCTTGTGCAACATGCAAATAAGCTTTTGATCAACCTTGCAATCTGAAGAGCACTGTGCAGGCAGTATAGGAAAGCACCTAGAGCTCTTTTCTTGATTCCTTTTGATGCAAAGCATTTGGGAGGTTTTTCAGATCCCAAGATTATTTCTAGAACTGTGGGGCAACCATCTAATTCTCTCTGTGCTCCCCAGATAAAAGCCAGAGAGAGAGCAACTGCACCTGGAGCTAGTGCAAAGCTGGCCTCCATGATTCACCATCGTCTCCCATCTTTCCTCCCGAGCTTTTTTCATAACTGGTGTCGACCCTGGAAACAATCTCTGCCACCTGGATACTTGCACAATCTAAGCCAGACTTTGTTTAAACAATCACATTCTGTACTTCCACCCACAGACTCGGAGCACTTCAGACTGGCAAACTCTGAAGGAGCAGTTACGTAAGTGGCATTCTCCAAAACAGTGGAGCTGCAAGAAAAGGTTTCAGGACAAGCAGCAAAGGAGGAAAACAGTTCTTGCTCTTACAATAGCCATTCCCATCAGGCCATTCACCTCTCTCCAAGTCCTACTCGGGTGGAAGTGAGCTCTCCTCATGCATCTAAATGCCTGAAAAGTTACATGCTGTCATTTAAAAAAAGCAATCCTCGACCTCAACTAATTGAATTTTTATGAAAGGTCACTGCTATTATTAAAAGTTACGTATATTTGGCATATTTAGAACTGTGAAGCTCTACAAAACTGAAAGTGAATATATGTTGATTAAAACATGGACAGAGAGCATGTTGTAATGCTTAGAGTGCTGAAATGGAATCTGGGAAATTCAGGTCCAAGTCCCTGTTGAGCATGATAAGTCTAACTGGTCATATGTATTTATTAATTACATTTATATCCTGCTCATCTAGTGGTGAACCACTACTTTGGACAGCTAACAAAATTAGAAGCACATACCACCCAAAGAGGGTGGCAATCAATTCTAGAATTAAAGACTACAGTATTCCAAATGACAATTCGGGAAGGGCAAAATGGCGAAGTTGATCCACTTCCCCTTTCAGTCATCAGTTCAAAACAAGGAAGGTTAATGAGCTGTTTTACTCCCTTGTTGTTGTTGTTTAGTCGTTAAGTCGTGTCCGACACTTCGTGACCCCATGGACCAGAGCAGGCCAGGCCCTCCGGTCTTCCACTGCCTCCCGGAGTTGGATCAAATTCATGTTGGTAGCTTCGATGACACTGTCCGACTATCTCATCCTCTGTCGTCCCCTTCTCCTCTTGCCCTCACACTTTCCCAACACCAGGAGCTTTTCCAGGGAGTCTACTCCTGGCCAGTGTCAATGAAAGGAAGGATATTAGCCATTGTGGAGTGGTCCACACTTCATGCAAATACATAACGCTTTTGCTCAACACGTCATGTACCTTAAATTCAGGACTACTGTGCCTGAAATCCTCTTTGTTTAAGTTGTGCAGTGTAAGGCTCAGGACATGATCAGCCAGGGCATTTTTTTGAAAGAAGGAAGCATGAAAAAAACATTTGTTTTCATTAATACAAATCATATGTGTTTAAGGAGGTTCTCTTTTGAGAATTGTTGAAAGGACTCAAAAAAGCAGCAGCCTCTTTCATATTCTTCCGTTCATTTCTAAATGAAATTCCCATCCCTAGTGGTGACACTATTTGTGTTTTAAGGATAGATCAAGAGCTGTCCTAATAGGCTGTGGTGAAATCTATCTCCAAGGGCAACAAAATTTTCCACACCTTGCCCTCTGCTTCTCCCTGAATGCTATCAGTTAGGGCCTTTTACACTTAATCAGCACAGGCAGGAGAAATGACTTTGGTCACAGTAAGACCAGCTGCAGAGTCAGGCATGTACAACAGATTCAAGAGGGAAGATGGTCTTTGCTACATCAATACAGAAATCAGATACAGGAAGAGATGGACACAGCTCGATATCAACATCTATAGAAATTACCTGAGATGATTTTAAAAGGAATGGTCCTTGCCGTGAGGTGCCTTAATGTCTACGTGTTTCTCCCTCCTGCTCTATTTTATTTGAGCTCACATATGAAAGTCAGAGCCACTAGAGATAAAACAAAACACCTAGCATGCAGGTTTCATATAGCAAAACAAAAAGCAGGGTCCTTTTCATTGACAAATGCTGAGCCACTTGAGCATGGCAGATCAAAATCAAACTATAGAGATGGATGTTTGAAAGAGTCTATAGTCCTGATTTACAACATCCCACAGTCTGAGAAATGTTTACCATGAGCTTGGAAAGAACTAAGGGTAGCTGATTTAAGATTTCATTTCCTCATTTTCTCAGGATATTACAAAAACTGTTTTTTGGTATGACTGGATTTACTTTGGCAGTTACCTGTGCTCTGCCTAATCTAACATCTTGATTTGGCTTGTGGTTGGTAACAAATGTTTCAGGAAAGGAACCAGGAAGTACTTTCTTTCAATCCATGTCAGAAATGTTCATGTGATAATTAATCGAATAATAAAATATGTTTTCAGTAAAATGTATGGTGCACTTATCAAGGAACCTTGTGAGCTAATGAGTTCAATCTCCTACTTGATTCCAAGATATCCAGAACAACAGCCCAGATCCCAACCTTGAGTTGAAGACTTCCAGCAAAGGAGAACTCACCACCTCCCTAAATTAATTGGTTCCATTGTCAGATCATGAATATTCAAGATCTATTCTCATTTAACTTAACCTCATTAAGACCCAGCCCTGCAAGCAACAGAAGAAAGCTACAGAAAAGTATTGTCTTTGACCACCACCAGTCTCAATTTGGAAGTCACTAAAAAAAACAAAAAACAAACCAGTAACTAGATTTTGACAAGCTTAAGCTGCTATCAGACCTATCACTGAGAATCCACTGGTGGATCAAACAGGCACCAATTGATCCTTAATCTGTCTGATTAGCTACTATTCTAGTTTTAGACTGATCTTTAAAGACTCTGCTTTAGTGATTCTGGTTAATCTTCATGCAGAGATGTGAGTGTGATATTCACCATTTCACTAGACCTTATGGCACCTTGGATATAGGAGATCATCCATACTTTCTGGATTGAAGAGGCTAGGAGTTGTTAAATGTTTTGAGTTCTATGGTGGGAATGCTTTTTTTAAAGTCAAGGGAGAGGCCATATGGATGAGCAAACATGGTACATCAGATACAACTCAATGAGACACTTGATTCAGACATTCAACTTTGCTGAAAAATCTATTATTGTGAGCAGTGAAACACTAAGGAAACACTTGAGCAAATCCCTACCAAGCCAGCTACTATGTGAGCACTATAAGCACTTTCTGCCAACATTCAAGTCAACTGCCTTCCAGCCTGGCCTGGCTTCAGTGATGGGGGGGGGGGACAACGAACCTCAAACAGCCCCCAAAGAAAAATAATCATTTGTCCTGCCCAACAAGGAAGTGGGAAACCCAAGGAGTAAGGATTCAGGCATGTGCAAACATTTTCTGCTAGGACAGATGCTATAAAGAAAGCAATAGCTGACAATGCCTACCTGCAACTTTAAAAGGAGTATCTCAGTATCCTGGTATTTTTAAAAGGGGTCAAGGATGCCACACAGATGCTGGTTACTGAGCTTAACCAGGGCCCCTTTGTATGGATCCTTCCAAAATACATCCTCACATTACTTTGGGAGTGAAAATGTAGGTTAATATGGGCTCATATTCCTCCAGTAACAAGGAAATACTATACAGTGAGGGTGGAGGACAACTTGCTTTCACCACATTGTTCATTACGAAAAATACCTCGTCTCTGGACCGACCTTTCTCCAGAGATTCGTGAGGCCCCGTCGCTGGGTATTTTTAAGACCCATCTCAAAACTTGGATGTTCAAGCAGGCTTTCCCTCCAGATAACACTTAACTTTTTCTTCTTTAATTTATTTTTTGTTATATTGCCATCTTGAAAATATGTCTACTGCTTATTGTTGGCTGCTTATTGTTATTGTGTATAGTATATTGGATTTTTGTTATATGTACATTTATTGTGTTTATATGTCTGGAAGCCACCTAGAGTGGTCATTTTGAACAGATAGGTGGGGTATAAATAAATAAAATAAAATAAAATAAATACCAGGAATAAACTGGAATAGCCTCCTGCAAAAATCTTCTTTCAGGAGCAAGAGAACCTGAAGGGGAGGTGTACTCAATTAAACAAACTGTCTTTTTTTTCTTTTTAAAACTAAGGACCAGAAAAGTTACAAAAGCAACATCAAAATTTACAATGAACAAAAAGAAATTTATTGATACATATGCACACAGGAATAACAGAGGTATTTGAATAATCAAATATGGAATGTTTACGAGAGAGCTGAAATAAATAATAAAGATACCCAGATGTGTCAGTGCCAACTCCAGCACCACTAAAAGGAAATGCCCGCTTCTGAACAGCACCGACTCTGACTGGACCACCCCAACAGAGTCTGCACAGGTTGCTACCACCAGAAAGTGGTCAATATTTCTGGAATACAAAGAGTCACTATAGTGCTTTCTATGGTTTTGCATTCTAAACGTTTATTCGCTGCTTTCGTCCCTTATTTCTTTAATAATAGCTATTAAGTTTTGGAGTCCAAAAACATAACCCGTGTCTTGGCCCTCATGCACCACACTATCTTCTCCATAGTACCTGCAGGTAGTGTGGGCAAAGTCTATCATTCGAACATCAACAGAGCTAGCAGTGGGCTTGTAGGCATATGCACCTGCAGATTCATCTGATGATTCTTCTGAAAGACCTTCAAGATCTTCTGGGTCAGAGTCCACTGCTACATCTTGTAGTTCCTTTCCATCATAAATAATGAGCAGAGAGCTAGAGTAAAAGCGGTATGATTCCTGCTTCTCTAAGACTGATTTTAATTCAGTCAGTTTCTTTAACACGGGTTCAAAGAGTTCTCTTCGCAAATATTTTCCATTATGAAAGAACTGATAAATTGCTTCTTTAAATCCTTGGACTGAAAGTTTCCTTCCATGGTATTTATTCATAAACATTAACTGTCCAGAACCTGGCCGAAACACCTGTAGAAAGGACAAGGAAAAAACATGATTTCTTAGCACCAAAAGCCACAGTATCTCTTAATCAAGAACAGAAAATATTAGCAAGAAACTTCTGATGAAGAAAGGTAGGTGTGGCAAATCCCAGCAATTGCCAACTGCTTGATGCATTTTTAAAGTTGCAACATAAATTCTTCAGATTTTTAAATGGTTGTGTTTTTTTAAAGATATAAATCTAAAGAGTTTAAGTAGGATTAGAAATTTCTTTGGCCACCACTTCCAAAGTCAAGTTATAACATGCATAATAGCTCCACTCTGTAATTCAGCTCATTAACAGCTATATCATGCCTCTACCTATTAACTCTACAAACTATTGGCAAATGAAGTTGTGGCTTGTCATGTCCAATGGCTTACCTGAAGAGAAAAACTAGTATTTTAAACGTAAATAAACAAAATCATTATGTAGACTTCTATCAATCACAGGAAATCTAGAGTCCGAAATGATTGAAAGTATGAAGTCATCTCCTACTATTCAATCACAGATCCTATAAAAATCTGTTAGAAGGATAATGAAGATGAACAGACCAATCCAGGTGTATCAAAATAAAATGTCTGCATCCAATGGACTGCCCAGCAGATGAACAAAAGTATTCTCATTTCTCTGCTAGAAAGGATGCTGGTATAAGCTATGCTCTTTACGAACACAAACAATACATTGAGAAACACCTCAGGAATATTCTAACTTGAAGTAAGAAATTTACTATGAATGGCAGACATGTCTCAAGTGCTATCTGTTAGGAATATGCCATTGTAAAAAGAGAAATACCAATAAGTCTCTTTCTTAAGATTTCTCAAGACAGGCACATGACTTCATCTTCCAGCAATGGAGGAAGATAATCAAAAAGGTAGTCTTTCACATGAAAAGGGGGCACCTTATAACAAGTTAAATCCTCCTTAAAGCTAGGTTCAAATAAAGGTTAAAATAAACTTGCAAAGATCTAGTTGGGATACCAAGATCCCCATCTACAGTGGTGCCTCGCATAGTGATCGCTCCGTATAGCGATGAAATCGCTTAGCGACGCTGTTTTTGCGATCGCAAAAGCGATCGCTTTGCGATGTTCCCTATGGGGAAATTTCGCTTTGCGATGATCGCAGGGAAGCGATCATCGCAAAGCCCCCATTTTCGGCCAGCTAATTGGCGGTTTCAAAATGGCCACCGGGTAAACAAAATGGCCGCCCGCTGTTTTCAGGCACGGATTCCTCGCTTTAGAGGCACCGAAAATGGCGGTGCTATGGAGGATCTTTGCTTAAAGGTGAGTTTTAAGCCCATAGGAACGCATTAATCACGTTTTAATGCATTTCTATGGGCTTTTTACTTCCGCTTAGCAATGTTACCGCTTAGCAGCAATTTTTTCTGCACAAATTAACATCGCTAAGCAAGGCACCATGTATTTTTACTGCCTATGTGGTGATGATTGTTTCCCTCACTTACTGAGAATGAAATTCATCCAAGCAAGGGAACATGCAACAACTACCACCCAGCTGCTCAACTGGAACACAGGTGCTGCACCTGGCTACTCCCTCCCTGTCTGTGGCATTAAATCCTCCCCTCTCCCTGTCCTGGATAGAGGGTTAAAAAGCACCAGCCAGACCACTAAATTGTCAGCGATCAAAAAATGTAAACAATTTTTAATCAACAGTCATAATGATCTAATAAGAATTTGGGGCAAGGATTGAGAAAAGGAAAGGTCTACTATCTCAGAACATTGCCTAGCGCAGAAGTATGTCCAGTGTAATCACATTAGATTTATTTTTAAAATGTAAGCTGCCTTAAGGATCTTTCCAGACTGAAAGGCAGGAGGGAAAAATGAATAAACAAATAATAGAATTTGGGTCATTTTTTTAAAAAGAGAAGTTCCTTTGGTGCTTTTGTGAAGCACCCACACTACAGAGATGCCATTCCCTAGAACTGTTTTATGCAGGGGAAAAACTGTTAACAGGGGTAAGCTCCTTCCATCCTCACTCTTAAAAGAAATGTATGTGAAAATCTCTGTACTAAAACCCTTTCTCACTTCAATTAAAATGAACTGGTATATTCCCTTATATAAGTATTAGTACACCATAAGATGACACTTAAAAGCAGAATAGTAAATTGTCTTCTATTTGTTATGCTTAATAAGCAGGTTCTCTATATCCAGGCTTAGCCTTTCAAGAGAGAATCTATGAAAGATAAATAGAGAATCTTAAAGTCCAGTCCCTGTCAATGCTAGAACAAAACACGGGCAGAGAAGGTTCACATGTGCATGCTTCACTCCAAGCACATGCATATGGAAAAAAGTCCCATAATTATCACCCATACAGGACTTGCTAATCAAATAGAGGACAGCCTGATGGTTAAATAGAAAATTCCATGCATTGTTAGAGAAAGGCACAGTGGCTCACTTTCTCCGCTCTTGATAAGGAAGAGCAATTGGCCCCTTCACTTGATTACAATGATACTGCCATATTCTGAAGCTTTCTTCAGCAAGATGGTGAATAAAATGTAAAATTTCTCAGCTACAAAAGTATGAAGTAGGATGGTTACAGAATTGTTTAAAATGAACAAAAACTATTAAATTACTTTGCATTCAAAAAACTCACCAGGCTTACATGTTTAGACTGCCTGGAAATGTTCAGTTAAAAATGGACACCTTCACCACATTTAGTTCTATGATTCCACAAGAACTGTAATCAAAGCTCTGCTTTCTGTGCTTTAACACGTGACTCAGGAGAAAGGCAGTCTTCCTACTGCAACAAAATGCAAGTAGAAATTGGCTTCACATATAGTCTCTTTTAAATAGGAACATTCAGCCCAGAGGTTTTGTTCTGCTCTTATTCTTTTGGAAACTCACCTGCATTCCACACACCCTGACTCCTATAACCGCTGAAGTACTTTGCTGACATTTTCGGATCTGATTAGCCTTTTTTTCTTCAGATGCATCATCTCCATGTTGCCGAGTTCCCATCTTGAGATCCAACACACAAGGCACCTCGTATCGTGAGGTTAGGTTTTCCAGTAAGATAAATTCTGTTTAGTTAAGGAAACATCCGAAGACTTGAAACTGTATTTGTCTACTACCTGCAGACAAAGTTTTTAAAATTCCCTAAATATTAAAGATTCCTAATGTTATCCTCTTCCAGTGTTATTTAGACAATAGGCACCTTGATTTAACTATATAAAACAATTGCCTGGCATTTTAAGCTCTCATTGCTGCCCCTACGTAACCCACAATACAACATTTTCTTCTACGGAGGTAAACATTCTCTGAAACATTTCCACAGAGCTCTGAAGCTGTGAGTCAGTTTGGATGCCCTCTGTGATCTCTCACATATCCTTGTCCATGAACTTGGATAAGCAACTGCTTTTCTCGTACAGTATATGTAAAAATATTCCAAATCATCATCTTAGAACTGCAGAGAGGGAAGAAACCTTATGGATCATAAAGTCCAGTCCCTGTCAAGGAGTCACAGTGGGACAATCAAGCTCACAACATTTGGCAGTTCTGCAGCCAACGAGCTTAGTGGATGCTGAGGAAATTCATTTTATATCACTACTGTAAACTACTCAACCAGATGGAAAATTTTACTACGCTACTAAACATGTGCAAGAAAATTGCACATTTTTACTGATTATCTTTGTGTTCCAACGACTTTACATCTATCTGAAAGTTCCTTTAGCTATTTTTATTCGTAAGATTAATTTCTAGAGATGTATGACAAAAAGCCTACTTAGAGCCACAGTACAGCAAAACATTATGATCCAAAGGCCTGTCTAGTCCAGCATTCTGTTCAGAGTAGTCAAACACCATTGTAGGCATGCCAAGAAGGATCTAAGTGCAACAGCAGCACCCTCCTGCTCATGTTCCTTTAAAACCCTCATTGAAAGGCATATTACTGAAAGTCATATACAGTCGTGCCCCGCTTAATGATTAGAGCACCCTCCTGCTCATGTTCCTTAAAAACCCTCATTGAAAGGCATATTACCGAAGGTCATATACAGTCGTGCCCTACTTAACGATTACCCTGTATAACGAATCTGCAATCGCAAAACGATGTTTTAATGGGTTGATGTTTTATTAATGGGTTTTTTTCACTTTGTGATGATCGGTTCCCTGCTTCAGGAACCAATTCTTCGCATTACAAAACTTTCTTCGCATTTTGTAATTCTTCACATTACAAAACAGCTGATCATTGGGTTTTCAAAAAACATTATTCGCATTTTGTGATTCTTCACATTACAAAACAGCTGATCGTCGGGTTTTCAAAATGGCCGCCGGCTGCTCAAAATGGCTCCCCGCTGTTTTTAGGAGCCATTTTTCGCTTAACAGGCACCCGAAAATGGCTGCCGTATGGAGGATCTTCGCTGGACAAGCAGGTATTCAGCCCATTGGAATGCAATGAACAGTTTTCAATGCATTTCAATGGGCTTTTTTATTTCGCTTGACGTTTTCGCTCTACAGCGATTTCGCTGGAACGAATTAACGTCGTCAAGCAAGGCACCACTGTATAACGATCGTAACTATCACAGACTGCATGCAACCAACAAATTCCATCCCTATTGCAGATACTAGCAGTACACACAATACCTTCCACCAGATATTAATCTAAAAGCATTCCAAAATTTGAATTACATGTCACATATTTGATGCTATTCCTAAGATAATGTGGTCTTTCTCCAGCTAGCAAATATGGCATATGCAAAGGATACTATATTGATTCCGATGTTTTGCATTTTCCTTCATTCGCTGTAGTTGCTGCTGATGGCATTTCATACTCCAGGGGTTATGATGCTTAAATTGTGAACTGACATTCCCCTTTTTTTCAACACTGTAATATAACACTTCAGATTTCTTCAGCCATTCAAATTCTTCCTCTAATTTATGACTGAAAAATAGAAACAAACATTTATATTTGAGACCAAATGGAAGTATCTGATCCTTTAAAAAAACATTTTGAACATTTGCAGTGTCATACACACATGCTTTCAGCTTGTCTATTTCTTACCACACTTTTAACTTCACGTTTGCCCAATGCTCTCTTAATCAAGCCTTTGTCCATGTTTTAAGAGAGCTTGCCTATCATGGAGTAAACTCTAACTCAAAAAATCCTATACACTAATAAACATGATACAGCTGAAAAGCTGCAGTGCTTGGGGGCAGATAAAACCATGACTAAATCTCTCAAAAATAAGCCTAACAACAAGTGCTACTGGTGTGCATTTCCAGGACTGCACTTGGTATAACTGGCACTGTGGTCAATACAGACTCAGAAGTGCAGTATGTTCATTCCAGATATGCTCTAAATGTTTCCAGCTTGATATTTTCAAGATTTAGCAGATTTTTATCGCTAAAAATGCCCCAAACTACTCTTGAAAACAGAGTAATGAAGTAATTTGTACAAGTAAATTTTGTGGACTCCTTTTTTCCAATTTAAAATGGAAAGAATGGTTTTCCCCTGACACTAACCTACAGAAATAAATTTCACTGTAGTTTACTGTATTCCCACCATCATAGCCAAAGGCTATGCATACAGCTACCTAAAAGGAAGCCCCACTAAACACAGTGTCCAGAATCCTATTGGTAGATCTAGCCAAAATCAATTGGACCTGCATAAATGTTGCCTCATAGTTCAGCAACTGCTTCAACAGGTCTACCCCTAGCTGCATTTAGATTGTCATTTTGTACTCTATGAGGTTTTTGTACATGCAGAGAGAAAATTAAAAAACTGAGACTATGGTTTTCTTTTATCTTTTTTAAAGTTACCTTTTCATTTTTTCTTCTTTTCTATGTTGTCGGACCCACTCCATAGTTAATTTTTCATTTTCTAGCAAAACAGTCTTTTTATTAGTCCACCGCAGCAATTTATTTTTGGGCTCACAGTCAGAACTATCTAGGCTTTCCAAATTATCAAGGTCCCCATTTAATGGATATGCTATTAGACACAGGTTTCCATCTTCGTCCTCTTCAAAACTTACAGATGCTACACCTTGAGAGAAGAAACGAGACATCCAGTTGAGAATTTGAGATGTGAGCAGCAAATAAATCTTACAACACAATTTTACACTAAGAATATAGCAACTTTGGTTTTTCTCTTACCCCAGTCCTTAGTTTTTTATCTTGCCAGGGCCCAAAACTCATCTGTCAACCTAACAAATATCAAAACATCTAGACAAAGTGACACCTCACAGAGAAGACAGTTCATCATGAAGACAACACATTAATGATACAAGAGTTTCTTCTCTTTCTTGTGAGCAGAATCATATAGAATCAAATAATAACAGGAGACGTTTTCAATTATTGAAAATTTTTATTATTGTTTTAAAAATCTGACTTATCTGTCCCCTAGGAGAGATGTAAAGCATTGTACATTTACATCTTGCAGTGGAATATGCCCTGCACAGAAACACCAAAAGCTTTAAGTTTTGCTTCACAGCAAAGCTAAAAGCATTTATTCAAACAAAGGCTTTCAGAAGGATTAAAAGATTCCAGGGGAAAGGAAAAGCTTGCAAGAGCAGAGCAAAACGAGAACAACATCACACATTACAACAGACAACTAATTCAAAAGCTTCCACTTAGAATCACCACGTTTCATTTTACATTTCTTTTTTTTTTCATTTGGGGAATGTATTTTATTGATTTCGTGTATATAGCAGTCTTGTAAAAAAAATAACAAGATGAAGTACAAAACAAATTTGAGTGTGATACATCAAAACATGGTGAACCTTGAAAGCATTTTTGCCTCCTCATCTCAAAGTCTCTAGAGCACTGTGTAATATTTTGAGAGTCTTAGAGGAAAGTTCTGATAGGGGTGCACCCTCTTGTGCCATATAGGAATGTTACAGCAGAAGTTGCAACAACTGGCTGATTTGGGTTTTTTTTCCTCAGTCATCTCTCTTTATCCTGAAATCAATCAATCTGCACATTCTTGCCGCTCATCACTAGTGTTCTTGGCGAGAGACTGGCACTTCTGAGCAGGGCAGGCGGCTCTGGGACCTACAGTAGGAAGGGTGGGGAATGCAGAAGCTCTGACTGACAGTCCTGCTGCCCATAGAGGAAAGAACTACAGGAAAAAGGGGAAGCCAGCTAGAAAGTGGCCTTTGGCTTTATCCTGGAAAAAGAACAGAAATGGACCAAATATGTCCCCACTTTACCCCTTAATCCCTCCCACACATCTCCAAAAGAGAAAAACCACATATGCTAATACAAGTTATTACATTATGTCAAACATTTATAAAGCACATTTGTATTTATTAATAGCTTGTAATTAGAATTTTTCAAATGTTTCAGTAAGCGTGCACATCATACAGCAGTACATCTCAGAAGCATCTTCCCTCAGCTTTTCTCCAATTGATATAAACAGTTAGGAAACATGTGGTTGTTTTATTCAGTGAATAAATATGATACAATATAAAGTCACTCAGAATTTTGAAATCTGGATTACCTTTATCCAAATTCCTCACATACCTTTTTTAAAAACGTAATGTTTTGTCAACTAAGAACACTAACTGAACACTAAGAAGAACCAGAATATCCACTTCTACATACCATCTAAGACAGCTCCGTAAGTTGTACTTCACCTTTTGCCTCTCTATGCCCCTGCCATCTTCTTAAAGGCAAATACAAGTTGAATATATTTAACTTATACTATACTAACTTAGCTTACTGATTTGCTGACATCGAATTATGTACCACAACAAAAAAGCAGAACAATCGAACAATCCACATGAAATTCATAGAAGATAATAAATCCTTATTCAATTTATTTCATTGTAGTAATTTTGAAAAGTGCACAAACATCAAAAAGTCAAAGTGAAGCAGCACATTTTTACTGAAAACATTTACAAGCTGGTATCAATATACTTACCTACCTGTGCCTAAAGGCGATCTATAGGCTATCATCAGCAGAGTTGTTCTACTCTAATGCTGTTAGTCAGCCCAAAGACCCACTGGCAAGCATTTCCACCCTGCATCTCCACAGCCTGGCTCAGACAATATCAAAATACATGAAAAGAAGCTCCCTAAAATCTCTTCAGCATGAGAGATTTTAGAGACAGAAAGAACACATTTACATTCACAGCAAGAATAAAAAGCCTAGCCCCTGTCTAAGCTTTCCAACATACCTTCATACTGAGGAGTGAATTTACGCATTTCTGAAGGAAGAGTCTCATAGAATTGGTGTTCCCTCTGAATAAGAGGCTTACAGATGGTCTTGTCATTAAATCGGAGGACACAAGAATGCCCCCCAACCTGGTGAACAAAAGGCTCCAGCAGGACGCCCTTGGAATAGTGCTCTACATCCATAGCTCCAAATGCCGGGCTCATCCTTGTAGCACATTAGACACACCAAGGTGGCAGTTATGAAGGCAGCTCCCACTGAGGTCTGTCCCCCTGAAGATTTTTATTCCAGTTCAGATACTCTATGGAAAGAGAAGAAAATCCGTTGTTGTCAGAAAGAGCAATGCCAACAGTTCCTTTTGCTAACGGATTCTTTCCGTATGCCGGAGCAGAAGCGAAACTCTCCTCACAGAAGCCGAAACTGAAAAGAGCCAACGGGCTTCAAGCTCTGAGACAAACAGGAGTGAGATCATGCAAAGGCTCCAAACCACACCTACCCCAGGCTTACCCAATGGGAATTAGCACATAGCTACTGGGTGTGTCTACTGAGAAGGAGCAGAGAGACAATAACAATGCCGAAAGTGGGCAGGACAGGACAGAAACACTCACACTGCTGATCTCTCTATTTGTTTGCTCACCTTCTGTAGCTCCCCTCTTATCAAGAAAACAATCCACAGCACAAAGCTGAAGATAAATGAGGCATTTTCACTATTTCCCTTATATTACACTACAAGATACCAAAATCTGACACTTGTTATTTAATCCACACGGTAAACCAGCATTTCCACTTCATGTTTTCTTCCGTTTATAATCTGTACACATCCACCACTGTTTACTTAAAACTAAAATTGAGTTTCTTGATCTTTTAAAAGCTATGTTAGAAGATGATGGAGCACATGCAAAAACAGTTTTATTTTCAGTAACTCTTTGATCAAACTCCTAACTTGATCCAATATTGTTTTTTAAACACTGTTTTTTAAATTCAGTTTCCATGGGTGCAGCTTCTAACAAAAAAAAACCCTGAGAAAAATACAGGCACACGCACATCTGTTGACAGAGATCAAAATAAGAAATTTTACAATTTCTTTCATTTTTAACCCCTCTCAAAAACTTCTACATGTATTTTCACAGCAGTAATATGTTGCACATTTCTTCTTGTCTTATCAGCAGAGCATTCTTTAAAATTATTCAAGATGATAGCCTTAACTTTATTCTAGCAACTATCATACCTACAAGTATAATCTAGTGCCTGTTACATTTCTTTGTAAAGACAGATATTATGCAGAATTACATTGAGTAACTGAGTGCTACGTTGCATCATTCAAGAAAGTAACTTGGGAAAAGTAATGCAAAGACTAAGATGGCCAAAATCAAAAAGTTAGGACAGAATTTAAGCCAGTGTTTATATCTTTTAAAAATGACACTTCGTTCTCACTTAAGGAGTATTACATGAACAATAATATACTTAATTCTGGGAACCACAGTGTTCTGGGTCATATATCTATTTTTAGTACATTCAAGTACCGAAGCACACTTGTAAAGCCGTTTAAAACATTAACACAGCAATAAATCCTATTGAGTTCAATTCTGCTTACTTCCCAGTAGGAGGCAAACTACCACTCTTATTTTAAAACTAAAAACCAAGAGATTACTGAAACAATGCCCAGAAATATTCAAAGGATAAGCAATACATATACTGAAATGTTTACTCTCTTAATAGATCACTTCTTAAACAGAACAGTACTACATTTAGACCATTACTACAGCATACTTTCATCCAGAAGGGGGCATCCTTACTATTTTTCCAACTACAGCAAGTTATTCTACCAACTATGCTTGAAGGCACAAGTGTAATGTTGTGCCTACTTACTTGGGGAAAGAAAAACTGACCTGAAGACTTTTTTACTTTTGAGAAAACAAAAGTGTGTGTATGACTACAAATACAATGGTGCCTCGCTTAGCGATCGCTCCATTGAGCGACGAAATCGCTTAGTGACAGAGTTTTTGCTTTGCAATGGTCCCTATGGGGTTTTTTCTCTTTGCGATGATCGTGCGGAAGCGATCATGGCAAAGCGACCCTTTTTAACAGCTGATCGGCAGTTTCAAAATGGCCACCGGGAAAACAAAATGGCCGCCCGCTGTGTTTCCTCGCTTTAGAGGCACCGAAAATGGCTGCCGCTATGGAAGATCTTCGCTTAAAGCTTAGTTTTTAGCACATAGGAATGCATTAATCGCGTTTTAATGCGTTTCTATGGGCTTTTTAATATCGCTTAGCGATGAAATCGCTTAGCAACGTTTTTTCCAGAATGGATTAACATCGCTAAGCAAGGCACCACTGTACAGGAACAGGTGATATCTTTAATTGACCATTAAGAATATATATTTTAAACAGCAAGCTTTCAATGATAAATCATCTTCTTCAAGGCTCTGCACCAAGTTCTTATGGGTAGTTCCCACTTACATGCCATTATTAATATCCCAAATTCACATAGCGATAATGCTGAGGCCAGGTTTGCTTCTTAGACATAGTGCAGTATGCAAGTTGTTTTCAAGCTCCTCCTCAGCTAGAAGTTTGGAATTTATGGCCAATCTCTATGACTGGGTTTTAAAATTGATTTAAATTCAAACCATGCCATGAAGATGTTCAAACAGTACTTGGCACAAAGTGAATTTTGTTAAAGTCACAAAAAATGTGATTCCTTGCCTTAATCATCCCCAGTGAGTTCATTAATGCCTCAAATATTTCCACTACTTTTCTTTTATACCTGTTCAAAGCTGGTCATGGGGAAATTTGAACTCCACATACTGTCAAAATTGCCTGGAAGCAGGATGATGACAAGGGTGGTGGGCCTCACACTATGGTAGGATGATAATGCATTTATTTCAAATACTGAGAAAACTATTTGAGAAAAATTAATCAGGGGTTTATTACATTTCTAATACATTGAGATTTTGCTGTCAGTTTGAGAGGTACATGTACATTTAGGAGAAAATATCTCATGGTCTACTCCAACTATAAGGCGAGCAACTATGCCAAGACCATACAGCATAAACTTACAAAACTTGAGCTGCAAGATCAAGAGAGAACTTTGATCCTCAAAATGCTTTTTTAGGCACTTCATGGCTGATTTAAAGATTTATCAAACATTAGTTAACATTTATACTATGTTCCCAGTGCATCAAATATAAAGGAGACTAACATTTCTCAATAGCCAAATCAAGAATTATAGTTATCTTTTATCTAGTTATCCTGCATTTCAAACCTCCTTCCTCTTTAGACAAGTTATTCATAGTTTTTTCTTTGAAGTGTGCCAGACTAAATGTTGCTGGTTTTGAAATCACAAGTGTCTCAAGCCCAGTATCTACCACTTTCCTGCTAATCCTTTCCAATGAAACTCAGTGTGTGCTGTTTGTTGCTACATTTTAAAGGTGCCTTAAGCATCCATCAAGTAGTAACACTGAATAAGGACGGAACAGAAACATGTAGACTGGATCATACAAGGCCAGTATCAGTGGTGGTGTTGGTGTGGGGTTTTTTTGGTTCAACCTTCCACCGGCAAAGCTTTATGACAGCCATACTTTATCACAGCTTCAGACTGGTGTTGACTGCTATACAACCAACTGGACAATTCCTGCCCTATTCTTGTAGCATCAATGCTGGAAGAAAGACAAGCCACTTACTACAGTCACCAATGGGAAATACATTTACCAATGCATAAATTAAAACACCAGTACAACACAGGTGCTGTCATTTGCCCTGTACAACAGACCAAGGTAACAGTATGAAAACCAGTCTTGTCCAATGCACTGTGCATGTCTATTTCAGGAGTTCTGAATCAGACTTCTTTGTGTATTTAACCACCAATATCAGCTCTTGTGGTTTCGCAGCACAGAGGAAAGTTAACAACATCTTTTTGATGTAATCTTTCGTCCCACAGTTGCATTCTGGGAATGGGTCATCTTTACTAATCTTGCTAGTTTACAGCTTGAACTAAGAGAGACACACATAGATACTGTCACAGTCTCCATACAGGTACCTGTATGCTTGAGGTCTAAGGAACTGTCTGGAAGGAGCGCAAGACCATCTGAGCTACAAGATTTCCCTAGATAAAGTTTTGTTCGATACAACTTTTAAACCACTTCTGGCTCTTTACTTCTTTGTCTGAGGATAAGAGCAGCATCTTTATTCCTTTTAGTTCCACTGCAAATAAGGGTTTCTACCTTTCTCCTCAAAAGAACATTTATGCAATGCTAAATGGAAAGCGTTTTAACTCCTATTAAATCCTCTGGGTATAAAAAGGAAAGCATTTTAATTGTTAACAAACCTCCACGAGAAGAATATCTTTCTTAAATAATGAGATAGAGAAAAATGACTCATATGTCTATCTCAGAGAAATTAACAAATGCTTTTGTACATGTAACAGCCTCAGAAGATAAAAGAATTGGGGGGGGGGGGGGCTGGCATCTTCAGAGGACTGGAGTAGGAGCTCGGTCCATGCTCTCTCTTAGAGCATAGACCGAGTTCCTACTCCAGTCCTCTGAAGATGCCAGCCACAGAGACTGGTAAAACATCAGGAAGAACAACCTTCAGAACATGGCCAAAGAGCCTGAGAAACCCACAACAACCATCAAAAAAGAAATACTTCCCATCTCTTTCTTACAGTTATGGGGAATGGGTGCAAAGTCACCTAGTACAGTGGTGCTTCGCTTTACAACGTTAATTTGTTCCAACGAAATTGCTGTGGAGCGAAAACATCGTAAAGTGAAATAAAAAAGACGAAATTGCAGTGGAGCGAAAACATCGTAAAGTGAAATAAAAAAGGCCATTGAAATGCACTGAATCCCGTTCAATGTGTTCCAATGGGCTGAAAACTCACCGTCCAGCGAAAATCCTCCACGGGGCGGCCATTTTCGGTGCATGTGCAGCGAGGAATCCGTCCCTAAGCACAGTGGGGGGGGCCATTTTCTTCAGCTGGCAGCCATTTTGAAACCAGACAATCAGCTTTTTTTTGATCGTCGTTAAGCAAAAATCGGTTCCCAAAGCAGGGAACCGATCATCGCGAAGCGGAAAAACCCCATTCAAACCATCGTTTTGCGATCGCAAAAACCTCACAGTCAAGCAGATTCGTCATTAAATGGGGTAATAGTAAAACAGGGCACGACTGTACTTTATGGATTCACTTCTACCACATATAATTCATTCTTAAGAGATTGGGGAAAGATTGTTCACAAAATCACCCCCTATTTTATATGAAACTTCTCTGGTTCTAGCTTCACAATCACTAAAACTATTATTTCACATTCTGTTGAAGGAGAAATCCACCCATGATACCTTAGCCATTTTTTCTCCAAAGACTTTAAGCGACTGACACAAATAACAGGATAACCTAAAACAGCATCAAGTCCAAATGAACAAAGCTATCTGCAATGCAATATCAGCA